TAAAAACTTCGAAATGCTCTTAAAAGCTACTTGAAGTAGTTTTTTATTACGAGTATTATGTTTAAAAAAAGAGTTTAAAGTTCGTAAATCGAAAGAAGGTTTTTCTTTAATTTGCAATTTTTCTTAAAAACTAAAAGTTAAATGCTTTTAAAAACTTGTTGCCAACACAATTATATACATTTCTAAAAATAACAATTCATGAAATATATGACGTGTTTGACAAAACTAGCTGCTAGTTGGCTGCTAGCTAGTAGCTGGAAGCTGTAAGGTGGTAGTTGGTAGTTAGAAGGTGTAACTTTTATTTGTTATATGAATGTTTGACAAAAGTAGTTGAAAATTTTTTAAATGTGTAAAATTATATAAAATGACAACTATTTAAAACATATAATATATAAATATATTTTTAAAAGCAATTCTGGAAATTTGTTCAAAAAGCTCAATAGTTTTTTCTTAAAAGCTACATGAAGTAGCTTTTAGATTTGGCGAATTTTGTTTAAACTAAAAGCTAAAATCACATACTACCAAATGAAACTCTTTGTTTAAATCGAACGATTTGTCAAAAGCTAAAGCTATAAGCTCTTAAACGCTCCCAACCCAAGCACATCCATAAATCATTTAAATAAGGTTTAGGCAAGGGCGAGGCTACACCATCATAATGTGGGTCCTTTGAACCACCTAATTTTTTAAGATATACTCTAAATTATATATACAAAAAATTTGAACCTACCTAAAAAAAATGAAGGACCTACCTTGTACCGGAAAAAAAGGTGTGTTAATTAAAATAAAAATAGTTATCTTTGAAAAAAACCTTGATTCAAAAGCATATATATTTACAACCTATAGTTAGTCATCGACCAACTAAATGAAATATGTGAGAGATGATTTCTTATAAATAACAAGATGAGAAGAAACTTTGAAGTACATTTGTGCTTGACACCTACGACTTAGCTAATAAGTTAAAAATTGGTTAGCTATGATGTCTTTTTATTAAAAATTGGCCTTTGTAGTTGTTTTTAAAAATTTGATACATATATTTATCAAAACTTTGGTTGAAGCGGTGTTTTTGGAAAATCGTCCGGTTCCCTTTTGTTTGCAAACAAACATTTTTTTGAGATTGAAAAACAATAAACTAAACGGTTCTCTGTTCAACCGGTCGAACCATCAGTGTGGTCTGGTTTTCATATCCATGCTTTTATTGGTCCGATTAAACTTGCTTAGTGAACCAATTGATTTTATATTCCAGGATTTAGATTATTCCACATATTTTATATGTACTTATAATCTTATACTTTATTTTTGTCCATTTAAACCTTCTTAAATAAAAAAAACTAATAATTTTCTTATGAATAAGTTGAAATCGACCATCAAATCAAAAGTAACATAAATCTTTATATCATTAAACCCAAAGTTGTGGGACATTAGACCATGATATGGAGCCATTTGGTTGTGGAATTTCCAACCAAAATCGCCACGCTTAGAAAGCTATAAAAGCAAATGTTATCTCCTTCACTTGCTTATTATATGCTTTAATTTAATTTAATTTAAATTAGAATTTTGCCCACAAACAAACCCCATGTCCTTGCATAAAATAAGCGCTAAAGTGGCATGAAAAAGGGGATTCCTTCAATATTTTACATTTCATATTGCCCACTATGTTAGACTTTTCTCCTAAATATTCTTACTTTCTATTTTGTTTTTATTTTATAAAAAAAATATGCCCATTAGTTGGTGTCAACCTTTTCCTTTAAAGGCATGCTTCAAAATTAGTGCAAAATTAGCTATTAAATATAGTAATAACTAGTATCATAATTTATCTTCAAGAGGTATACGTTCGTCGGTTAAACACACTTTAAAGAACCCGTTTCATTTTTTATTTTTTTCATAACAAGATAAAGAGGCAAAGAGAAACATATCAACAATGGTTATTGAGGTTAACTAAATTTTACATATTTCTACTTTAATTTGGTTAGTCATAAAAAGTCTTTTTGAAAAGGTTAATTATTGAAGAATAATTATTAAATAAAGGTTGATAAAAAATTAACATAACAAAAGTAATAAGTTTTTGAATCCTAGATAGAATACTAAACATCCATCTTGTATTTCCTTTTTTAAATGGATTAGAAAATAGAAAATTCAATAGCAGGCCATGATGAAAACGGATAGTTATTGGATTGATAATGATTTTAATAAACTAAAGATTTGGGCTCCATTTAGTCCATTGGATTTTTTTTGATTTACGGACTAAGCCCATCAGAAAATAAACACATGGTGCATTTTGGTTAAGCAGAAAAATCTCTCGAACCCAGTACTGAAGACTATAATTAATCCAGTACTGAAGACTGAAGAGTAGGAGTGTTCGTGATTTGGTTAAACTGATAATACTAAAAACCTCGTACCTGACCTGTAACATACATATAATTGCTTATGTTTCCTATAACCAAAGATTAAGAGTTTAAATTTCGTTGAGACAAAATATATAGATTTATGAATAGATTAGTCGGCGTGTAAGTAGTTCTAAAAAAACTAATGAGATAAATATGCTACGAATGATCGGAGAAAGTTCATACCCGTGTTAATAAATGTTACATCGGATAAATGTTATAATAAAATTAAGACAAAATTACATAAATGGTTTATGTAGTTAACAAAAAATACAACTACAATTCTTTATGAGATTTTTTTTGTTGTTTCAAAAAAATATACATACGATCCTTTTGGCTAAACATGGTTACACTTAATCTGTTAAATCAATATAAAAGTATTTTTTTTCCCCTTATTTTATCTCATATCTTTAACATTCCCATCCTATCCCTCCATAGATAGGATATCTTCAGAAAAGTCTCAATATTTTGGGAAAATTTTTAATAAAATCCTAAATTTTATTTTTTGAACAAAAAAATTCTGACTTTTTCACTTTTTGAATAGAAAAGCCCAAGAAACTGGCTAATTTATTCACTTTAGTCTTTTTTGACTTGTTCAGCAGGTCATAGGACTAAATTGTTAATTTTCCGAAAGTAATGAGATTTTTTTTTGCAGATTTCGTCAAAATTTTTATATAATGTATAAACATAGTTTTTACATATCTATATCTATTTTTACGTATTTGTGTATTTTCTAAGTTTTTATATGTATATATTTACGTATTTTTATGTATTTAAATATATAAACGTATTTTTTTACTTATTTATATGTATTTTAAACCATTTTACATATTTTTTTAAATGTATTTTTATGTGTTCTTTTTTATGTATTATGTATTTATATGTATTTTTACGTATTTATGTATTTTTTAAGCTTTTTATATAGATGTTTATGTATTTAAAATGTATAAATGTATTTTTTACGTATTTATATCTATTTTTAAGTATTTTACATATTCTTTTATGTATTACGTATTTATGTATTTTTTTTAAAGTTTTTTAAATAGATGTTTTTGTATATTTATGTAATTTAAATGTATAAACGTATTGTTTTACGCATTTATATGTATTTTTTTTAAACAATTTACATATTTTTTGTGTGTTTTTTATGTATTATTTATTATGTACTTATATAGATACATAATACCTCCAAAAACCCATAACCAACAACACCAAAAAAATAGATCCTACGCAAAATTTTCTCTAGGAAAATCTAATCTACATACCCTCTACATAAACATCTATATAGAAAACTAAAAAATAACATAAATAGGCAAACGTTCATATAATCACATAAAAAAAACATAAAAACACACAAAAAAAAATATGAAAATACTTTTAAAAAAATACATATAAATATGTAAAACAATACGTTTATACATTTAAAAGACATAAATATACAAAAAATCTATATAAAAAACTTAAAAAATACATAAATACGTAATACATAAAAAATATGAAATACTTAAAAATAGATATAAATACGTAAAAAATCCGTTTATACCATTTAAAATACATAAACCTCTATACAAAGCTTTAAAAAAAATCCATAAATACGTAAAACTTCCATAAAAAAATACATATAAAAATACATAATACAATAAAAATACACATAAAATACATAAAAATATGTAAAATGGTTAAAATACCTATAAATAAGTAAAAAAAATACGTTTATATTTAAAATACATAAAAATACATAAATATATACATATAAAAACTTAGAAAATACACAAATACGTAAAAATAGATATAGATATGTAAAAAATATGTTTATACATTATACAAAAATTTTGACGAAATTTGCAAAAAAGTTTCATTATTTTCGAAAAATTAACAATTTGGTCCCATGACCTGCTGAACAGGTCAAAAAGGACTAAAGTGAGTAAATTAGCCGGTTTTTTGGGCTTTTCTAATCAAAAAGTGAAAAAGTCAGGATTTTTTTGTTCAAAATTTTTTTTAGGACTTTATTAAAATTTTTCCCAAAATATGGGGACTTTTCTGGAGATATCCATATCTATTGCTCACCATCTCCGTCTCCATCACCGCCTCAACTGCCAACTATCCTCTCCTCACCGCTCATTAATGAGGCGATGTTCTTCAATAAGTTATCTGCAAACACAAAACTCAAATTTAATTTTTCTTTTCAATACATAGATCCAAAATGGTTGGAGAGAACAAAAAGAAACTAAGAAACATAGGGAACACATCGATCACATCCGTCTTTAACTTCAATTTAAACAATAACTTTATCCCCAACGCCCACCTTCTCCTATGAGTTCATGTCGATGTCGGCGATCCATCAGAAAATGATAAAGTGAGAAGAGAGAGAGAGAGAGAGAGAGAATGAGGAGAACAAGATGGGTAGATGGTCTTGCTCGTTACCGATACTACCAATTTGGTCTGCAATTTTATACCTCTCATTTTCGATCATCCCAATAGAGAAAAGTTATATATGAATCGGAGCAGAGAAAGAAGAGGTTGAATCAAATCACACCCCAACTATTAGACCACGAGGTGGATCAATTTGATCTCTTTCATGTGGTTCACTGCATCCTCCCTTCATTTGGGAACTAGAACATGTGTCACGTTTGGGAGGTTGTTGAAGACCTGGGAGTCGATGCAGATGGCGGTGATCCTAGTGGAAATGTAATGATATCGAGGATACCCAACGGGAGACGATTGAGTTTGAATGTCCAATTTCTAGGCATTCGTTGTTAGGAATGGCGACGACGTTCTTTAGATTTCGGTTAAACATAATTAATTGTTTTTACAGAATCTCCAACCACACTTTATTTTTAAACTCTATATTTATAGTATAAAATAGAGTTTAGAGTGGTTCTTTCCAACCCCAATCCCAATCTAGAATCTATTTTACACTCTAAAAATGAAATGCGTAGAAGATGGTATAAATTACACTCCAAATTTAGAGTATCATTATTCCTTTCTTTATTTATAAAGTGTAAAATAAAGTTAGATCGGAGCATTTACTCTATTTTACAAACTATAAATAGAGTGTAATTTTAATGATATTTGCCGTTTCCAAAAATAAATAGAGTGTAATGACAAAAATTAGAGTAGGGTTGTAGATGCACTCTTATTATTTTTGGTAAGACTATAGTGTGGTTCAAAAATGGTGTGATGATGCCGACGTGACACCTCCATAACGTCGTTAAGGCCGAAGGAACATCACCCTCGCTTCTCGTTATGGCATAACTCATTGCCATGGAAACTCATCTCAACGGAAGAAAGCAACCAATGAGATTTTAACCGTTAACGATCAATTTTTTTTAAATAATTAATATTTTTTACCTACAAATACATATCATCTTACCCAATTGTATTCACATCATTCTTTTATTTCTCTTAAAATAATGTCAATACTTCTTCAAAAATATTAATGGATCCATTCAACTTGTCATCAGATGATGATGATATGCTCATCACCATGATTTACGAGTATTACACTAACGAGCTATTATAAGCAGATGTAGCCCCTCTACTAACAAGACACACGATGCTATATAGAAATCGCGAGTAGGGATATGAATGTCTATATCACATTTACTTTGCGGATAATTGTGTCTACGAATCAAAGGATTTTAAAAGAAGGATTCGTTTTAGTTGGAATGTGTTTGTACGGATAGCCAACACCTGGGAAAGAAGGTATCGTTTCTCTTATTTTTATACATATTAAATATATCTTTATATGAAATAAATACATATTTTTAGCTATTAAATATATATATTTAGGCATTGTTTTTCCGATTGAGATATGATACTAGAGATATATGGGGATTGACAAGGTTGCAAAAATATGTTGAGGCAATTCGGTTGATGGCTTACGGGGAGACACTCGATTCCATTGACGTTTATATGAGAATGTCTGAAAGAACTCCAAGAGAAAGTTTGTATAGATTATCAAAAGGTGTTGTTGAAACATTCGGTGATGTTTATTTGTGGAAACCTTCATTGCATGATATTATGACATCCTCTAGTTTTTCATAACCAAAAAGAACTTTCTTTACGCTTTAAAAATCATTATACTTCATTTGTAGAAAATTCCAATATATAAAAATCTTTTGAGTACAAGCTTGTCTCAAATAAAATCATAAGGATGTCATAATCAATACAGATACATAAGTTATAACATAAATACCTAATGGTTCTGAACACCATTGTAGGCCGTCTCTTAATCACTCAGCGTCCCAATCAAGTTCCAATAGCTTAAGTCTTGATACCGATGATGCGTACAAACTGAGTGAGCCAGGTTAGGAAGCCTAGTGAGATACATATGGATTTTTAATCCCACCATGTTACTATATATATATATATATATATATATATATATATATATATATCTTAATACATTATGGGCGTGTTTGACAAAAGTAGCTGTTAGCTGGAAGGGGGTAGCGGTTAGCTGGTAGCGGGTAGCTGGTAGCGTGTAGCAGGTAGCTGGTAGTGGGAAGCTGTAGCTTTTATTTGTTATATGAATGTTTGGCAAAAGTAGCTGGAAGCTTTTAAAATATATAAAATTACATAAAAGGACACTTGATTAAAAATAAATAAACATATGAATATATTTTTAACGGTAATTATGGAAATTGATTTCAAAAGCTCAGGAGCGTTTTGTTAAACGCTACATGAAGTAGCTTTTAGAATCGGAGCGTTTTGTTAAAACTAAAAGCTAAACGCTCATACTGCCAAACGAAACTTTTTGTTTAAACTAGAGCGTTTTATCAAAAGCTAAAAGCTAGAAGCTCCTAAACGCTTCCAAAAGCTCAGTGCCAAACACGCCCTATAAAGGAAATCCTATTATTTCTAAAAATAGATTGAATATAATAATATTATTTTTTTTAAGACGTACAAACCATTAAACTAATAGTACAAATAATCACTAATAAAATAATTTTAAATTTTAAATTGTCTAAACTTATAAACTAAATGTACAATCAACCAATAATGCATAAAATTTGACTCAGTTATTTAATACAGGATGACATATCTGCAAATTTATCTCCGTTCTGGCCGCCGATCTCGCCCCTTTCAACTAATTTGATCCACAACACCACCACATACGCGTTATATATCTTTTTCTCTCTTTCTTCCTTCAATCTCTGATACGCACCCTAAGAACTCCACAGCTTGATGTTTTGTTTCTCGCTGCCATCATCACCAGATACCACTTGATGCCGATGTTTTGCTCCATGGCTTTTGATTTTAGGGCTTATTTGAGAAAAGGTAATGATTTTAGGGCTTATAATCGCACCATAAGCACATTCCTCTCTCTCTCTCTAGATTCTGATTTCACAGCTTCGGTTGTTTTGTTTTATGATTTCACAGGTTTTGCAAAATTTGATTGTCATTTGATTGCCTTCAGTTTTTCATCACCCTTATTATCGCCACATAAGACCCTTCATAAAACACGTCTTGAATAAACCCCATATTCGAGTTTTTTATTTTTAAAAGGCTATATTTTCTCTGAATATTGGGTTTTTTCTTTTTATCAATATTTTATCTCTAAGGCTACCTCCAGGTCTCCAATTACAGATTTTCCGACTAACTCATGTTTTCATCCCGATTTTGTAGGAGGCTTGGACGCATGTAAACCAGATACGACAAAGTCTAACCAGGTAAATCAACTATGGATCTGGATTTGATTTGATTTTCATTTGTGTTTTAGTTGTTTCCATAGATATGGTTTTGATTTTGGTGATGATTGGATACAAGTCTGGTTTTATGTTTCATTGACGGATTTCTTCTCCAGATTCGGGTGTAAGATATATTACTTTTGATTAAAGATATTCTCTTCACAAGAAACTTCAGATCTAAAATCTTACAACCTAGAAACCTTTTGTACCAGAAAGTCATATTATTAGAATAAACATTTATTAACATGTTATCTCTTCTTATTCTTCAGGTTAGATTTAGGAAACCAAGAAGCAGAGGTGCTTAAATTCTGGATTTGTTCATCCTTTGGGTTCTTAAACTTTTTGTAAGTGAGTTGGTTTTTAAACTGTTATAATATTATTATGCTTTATTTGTTGATTATATTGATTCTTATTTCATGGTTTTGGGATTACTGGTATCATTATTCTTTTGATATAATTGCTCAATTATTCAAGGCTTTGGGACTTTTGGTTTTGTTGTAGGAAGTGCTAATGGAGGTTGCTTAACTGTTGATTATTGGAAGTGTACTACAGAAAAATATTGAGATCAAGCTTACATGTTGATGTTTAACCTACTTCTCTCTCTCTCTCTCTCTCTCTCTCTCTCTCTCTCTCTCTCTCTCTCTCTCTCTCTCTCATACACACATCCACTTCTTTCCACCTTTATGCTCATCAGGTACGTATCCATGTGATCATGAGTTAGATGTGATTCTATGAATAATAGTTTGTAATTTCTTTTTTTGGGAATACACATGGTCGATCAAGTGGTTAGCTCTTGAATCGTGTACGGTGGGATTGAACCAAACTTTTATTGAAATTTTACATGGATTAAAGGATGCTCAAATTGAATGTGAATAGCCTTGGTATTTTTCTGGAGTTTTTTTTGAAGTTAAGTGTATTTTGGTCATATATTAAATATACCAGAAAAATGAACTCAAAATATTGATGAAATATCAAAAATTTTGGATTTATTTGAATGGTATGATATTAGAAACATAAACTTCTGAATTGTGTTGCTACTTTAGTTATGGCATCACTACTTTGCTTTTTATATCAAAATCAGTTGGCCCGGTTAATGTTAATTGGTTGTGGCCAGGGTATCACTACAACTTCAAGTGACACTTTTATATATTGTGGATTATAGGATCGTACGCTAATTTATTTCTTTATGCATTATGAAAATGAAAGTAGGATGATATATGAGTAAGTTACATGAAAGTAAGATGCTATATTGAACATTGATTTTGTTTTGTATAACAAGGGAGGTTAATGAATTTTTCGCAAGATGCTGGTATGTTTTTGACAAAATTGCAAAAATGGTCCATGTGGTATGCAATTTTTTGGGATTTTAGTCCAAACCATGACTTTTTTGGATTGGTGGTCATTTTGGCCATGTTTGTACGTAGATTTGGTCCTTCGTAAAATTGAAATGACTATAATGCCCTTCTGTTATAATTTTTTATTTTTTTTATAATTTAAATGAAAAAGAAAATAAATAATTAATTTGGGTCTCTCTCTCATACACACACACACCGCAGCAGAAATCAACAACCTATGCCTTTGTTTCATACCTTCCCTGCTAGACAAATTATCCCATTTTTTTTTTTGTTGTTTTCTTCCTTCGCCGGATCTGTTAGCCACGATCGCAGCCACATTTTTCGTGCTCCCTTTCCTGTCAAACAATCCAACCAAACACCCGTATTCGCTTCATCTGTTGTTGCTTGATTTCCCCCGGATTCGCTGCTACCGGCGACGAGGAGTAGACCCAAAAAGGAACATGCCGGAAATCTATTGTCCCATCCACCGTTCCGTCGACTGAAAAACCCAACCCAAATACACCAAGAAGATCGCCAATCTGCCTGGACTTCTCCCTTCGTGTGTGCTGCCGTGTCAGAAAGGAAGAGACGACGACGACAGTCGTCGAATGCTGCCTCTGTTTCCCCTGATTCTGTTCAATCGCTTCCACCGAATCACTCCTCCCTTCGCCTTCTTCCTCTTCTAATCCCATCACTCCACTTCTGATCGCATCAACCCCAGACCTCTGAAGGTCTCACTTCGTCGCTATTGCTGCTCGCGACACCCATTGGACCCTTCATTTTCTTCGGTAGTTGACCACCGGAGCACGCCACTCGGGTGCGATGGGTCTACAATCGTCAGACGAGAAAGAGAAGTGTAGTGGTGGTAAGTTATTAACTGGATTCGTTTGCTGGTAGCGATTATACACAAAATAGTGAATGGATTTTCCTTTTTGATTTTGGGTATCTACTGGAAGAAAGAAAAATAAAGAAGAAGGGTGGGTGGGGAAGAAGACGAGAGAGAGAGAGAGATTTTGTATTTATTTATTAATTATAAAATGGTTAAAAAAGAAAGAAAAATGAATAATAAATATGTTAAGGGTATTTTAGTCTTTTCAATTTGAAAAAGGACCAAATCCGCAACGAAACTAACTCAAAATGACCACCAATCCAAAATAGTCGGGGTTTGGACTAAAACCCCAAAAAAATGCATACGACAGGGACCATTTTTGCAATTTTGTCTATGTTTTTTAATTTGGGACATGAAGGGTGGTGGAAATATTACTAAAGATCTGGTTCTTTTACAACTACACAAATGAAGAGGTAAAGGCCATACCTAATGATAAATTTACCTTTTTAATATTTAGTGTCTCTCTTCCATTATACTTATTCTATCATATGCTAATTGGTTGCTTATGTTGGAACGAATAAAGAGTTAAATAGACAATGGTTGGTTCCTTTGTGTTAGCGGTAAGAATACATTTTTTTTGGTTGTTTTGATATGGTGGGGTGGTTTTAGGAAATTTGATTCTGGTGTTTGTTTGACTTCTTTGTATTATTAAATAAACTATGCTTTAGACATATTGTCAATTAATTGTAAAACCATTAAATTAAATTTCAATTTGAAATTACTTTTTGTTGGTTAATATTTTTGTTATTATATTTGATTATAAACGGCATAACCTAATGTCCTAATTACACTACTTTTCATTTACCTTTTAATTAAATATTTTTCTCAAAGTAATGATTATATATATATATATATATATATATCTATATATATATATATATATATATATCTATATATATATATATATATATTCTTTAAATTCTAATCACGTCGTTTATAAAGTTAATGAATCTTAAATTAACAGTTTATGTTTGCTCATGGTTCAATTTATACTTCTACGTACTTAGTACTCAAAGCATATATGAAATAAAAATGTTTATGTAAAATCAAATGAAAATATGAACATTACATACATTTATCACTATCATTGACGGAAGCTTTAATTTTGTGTTCTTTTAGAAAATATTTTTGAAAAGCAACGATTCATTATATGCCCATACAACCATATTGATTACAATTTGGATATGGTATATTCACGAAAATAAACTATTCCACTCTCTCCTCTATTTAAATTAATAACAGGTTTCCGAACGAAATTAATTGCCAAAATTAACTATTCTCGCCCGCCACTTTGCGCGGGTATATATATATATATATATATATATATATATATATATATATATCTTAATCCTACAAAACCAACTGTTACCATACAATATATAGATATATTTCCGACTTGGATATCTATAAATCCTCATACTTATACACACTCACCCCAATTGATCCTCACAGATCCTAGTCCACGATTATCTGGAAGATAAATTGTTTAAAAGAACGGGCTTGACTACACCGCTAAGGGCTTCCTTTGTAGGTGAAATTCATAAAGGCACTCGTGCCATCAGAGTATTTGATGAATATGGTGTCTCATTTCATCTACGCTTGTGGGTTATGAACCCACACTAGCAAAGTAATTCACAAGACCGTCTAGAATGATCAAGTGTTGTCATCTTACTCTGGGAGATGACAAGACATACCATTATAGTTTCCTGATCTGGACCTACCATTTCTAGCCGTCCAAATAGGAATATGATTTATACTTCGGTACGTATTTTCATACAATCAAAACCTGAAAGAGTCACGGTACAGAACTCTACTACCCGTTCCTAACTTACACACACATAATCCGAATGAGACTACCCAATATCAAATTGAATTGAACTAGGCATTTATAATATGTCTTATCTCATTAACATGCAAAACTATTAGGCTTCTATTACCAACGCTACTTAGACAACACTATCCTAATTCAGTATATATATTTAGCACAAAGTATTTAGATATTAATATATTTATATCATTTTCTCTAATAATACTTTTATTATTATTATTATTATTATTAGGTAATATATATATATATATATATATATATTATATATATATATATATATATATATATATATATATATATATATATCTTAACGCATATAGAACCATATCTGGTTTGCATGTACTATATCATCAAATACATTTCTAACACAGATTCTAGACAATACGCTTATAACTCACATATAAACATTTTCACATATATTTAATACTTTAGTTAATATTTGTATAAAATCATGTTCATGAAAGGGACTATGCACTCACCTGACTTAGGTAAATGACTTGGGTGGTGTTTGTTTTTTGTCCGCATATCTTCTTGGCCTCTTCTGTCTGTACGGCGCAGACATTAGCCTTCGCAGACTGTTTGTTTTTCTGAAGACTGCAAACCTAAAAATGTACGCGTGCCCTCTTCTTGGCGCAGATGTGGATCATAGTCTTCTGACATCTTCAGGCATCTTCTAGACTAAAAAAACACATTTATCTTTATTTTTCTTTTAGTTTTTTTGAATTTATATTTATTCCAACTTTATTAGTGATAAATAATTTGAAAAAAAAAGTTACAATACTTAAAAAAAAGTTCGACGACAAAAACATGATATTTTTGAAAAATTTATAAATAAAAATTTATTACAATAATGGTCGTTGAAGTTCTTTATATAAATATGAAAAATAAATCATAATATATTATAATATTTTTTGTGCTAAATTTTATAAAACATTATTTAATACAGTATCGTCAATTTCTTAGAAAAATATTTATGTCACGTTTTTAATTGATTTAATTGAAAAATCGAAGTTTATTTCCATCCATTTATGTATCAAATTCTTTGATTCCTAATTACAATGTTTAGGTATAACTTTGCGACCAATTGTTGGTTTTTATCAAATATATACGTTAATTTTGTGTTATTTTTATTTTCACTTTTTATACAATAATACATAAAAGTTTATCTAAATTTGTTAATTATTTATAAAAAAAGTCATAAAAATATTAAAAAAATCACTTTGTAGTTAAAAAAAAATCAGTTTATTTAGATTTTAGCTTATTTTAGTAGCCTGCAAATGTTAAAAAAAACAATCAGTCTTCTTTTTTCAGACTGCAGACGTTTGATCCACCTCTTCTGCTGCAGAGGTCTACAGATGTGGTCCGCAGACTGCAGACATTTTGCCTTAGAAAAAACAAACAACACCTTATTGATTTGGATAACACTTCGCCTAACACCTTAGCTTTTCCTTTGACGTGACCTAAGTATGATTAATACTGAGTCTTAGTCTAATGTTCCTGATGACTAATGATAGTCTAGATTCCTCACTAATCCCAATGTCTACATCAAGATCTATAAAGTAAGGAATAAGCAGGTATGATCATATTGGAGGTAGGGTCCGTTTGGTGTACAAAGTATACTGTTTGGAAATCTAACTTTAAATACCTCACTAAATCCAGCCTAGACATCACTCCCGTAAGTAGATCAATTAGTATAATGACTTGTAATCAATAATAAGTCTTATTTATAGGTTCATAATAACGACTATTAATATAAATATAAGTTACACTTGAAATAAAATAAGTGTAGCTTAACTTATAGAAATTTCATGAAAACCGGGAAATTGTGTGAGCAAAATCTCGAC